TCCAGTTGTTCGAGTCCCGGTGAAGGCGTTGCTCATTTTTCATTTCTCATGCTTCGAAAAAAACCGAATACAGTGGCGCACGGACTAAAAGGGTGGTGGATGATGATTCTCCACCACCAGTATTTGGCGATTGGGTCCCCTAATTCCCAGTCTCCCTTTAAAAGGGGGTTATATATGAGGTATTTCTCCCACCTTCTTGGCTTGCCTTTGTTGTGTAGTGGTCAGCACACTCAGCGCGTATTCGAGAGGCCATGGTTCGATTCCCGGCGAAGGCGTTGCATTCATCTTTCGTCGTCGTGCGGCGTTCATGCTTCATCTTTCCTGCTTCGAAATAACCTAATGTCTCTACAAATTGTTTTAATAGTTTTATTTTTACACGAAAGCATGCGCCTTAATCTACATTTTAACATAATTTCCACCTATATTAAGGGTACCTATATTGTATCGTAAAACCAGCTGCAGAATTCCTTCCTTACTGAAATTGGCAGCCTGATTTTATAATTATTTTTGGCATCTGGTATGAGAGGAACTTCGGATAAAGGGTTCTATCACAATTTACTATTTAACACTTCTGAAGCTTTGTAAAACTAGAGGCTTGGGATAATGAATGACGAAGTAGGAGAAAGCTTGTAGCAGAAATGGTGCAAGAGGTTGGCATAGTCTAATGATGCTTTCGGAGAAGAAAAGAGGAAAATTAAGCTTTGCTATAGGCGGGAATCGAATCTCGGGCCTTCCGACTGCTAGCCGTATGTGCTACTATTTACAGTACGAAGACAACCAGTGAAGAAGGGGATCATTCCTTACAAGTTAATGAAAAATGCTTGAGAAAACAGACCGTTTAAGATTTCATCATTACGTAATGAAGTTTCCTCAAGTATCAAGAACTGTTTATACGAAATTGTGATAAAACACAAGCTACGTACTAAAAATGGTTAACAAATGAAGTTGCAGATTTCTGTGAAGATGGAATTCAGACGTTACTACTATAATGCCACAAATGGCTTAATGCAAATAGAAATTATGTTGGATTAAGGCCCAAGAATTCACGCAGAAATAAAATTATTAAGAAATTGTCCTTGCTTTTATGTAACATCAAAACGGTACTTCTTTAAAAAAACGTGTCTCGCATAATACTTATAAACAACAGTTAAAAGAACGGTTTCTATCTGTCAGGTTTAAAGATAGAAACAAATTCCATCAGCCAGAAAAGCATTGTCAGGCAACTTTAAAAGATGTTAACTGCATAAGTCTCGATTTCATTGTCTATTGTCTTCGTATCAATTCTATTTTGACGCTACCTAGCAATTAGAAGCTGATAATAATTGAGTTGTTTCGGAAGAGATAATTTGTTCGATAACTGTTGTTTTAGCGGAATGTTTTTTCATTATGATTCAACAAAACAGGTTTTAACAAATGTCAAAATTTTAAGCTGTGCAATTATTAAATGTAATTATTAAAATAAATCACGCTTGTATTGTCTAGGTCCTTAGTATAGTTATTTCACGGTAGATCTGAAACCGAAATTAATATTTGAAATTCATTCACATACTAGTAGTAATCTGAAGTATGGATTGTGTTTTAAGTGAGGACATATGATATTTCTTACTTATGAAAAAATTCGATAGTCCGACAAAATTATGTTATTTCAGAGCTTGAAGGTGTTGGAGTCTTAGATTTTTCAATATATAAATCAGCGTACGCAAAAATATAAGTTTTTTAAAGACATTTATTGCATGTAATATCATTTTATAGGCGACTATGTAACTGATAAGCCATTCGAAATTGGCGGGGGGGGGGTTGCATACATACGTAATGAAAAACAGAAACTATCTGGTCCGAATCTAGCTTTAATCTAAGCATGCATTCTGTTATAAAATTAATAGAATTAATGACATTTAAATAATGAGGATCATATTTATGTTAGCATAAAATGTCTGAAATTATTTCATCTTTTCTAAATCATTTGTCAATTGTTTCGGAAAGATACAAAAAAAAAAAAAAAAAAAAAAAAAAAAAAAAAAGACTGAATCCATGAAGATTAAGAAGATGAATATATACTGAAATATAACTCATCACATCTTGAATATAACATAAAAATATACATATTTATTAGGAAAATGCAGTGTAAGGGAAAGAAAGAATGATACTAGAAAAAGTGAGTAATTATCAAAAGCAAAATCATGTAGTAAAATATCATAACAGTACTACTAAAGCGGTTTTTGGTTGCCGAATGTGTTTAGGTAGTAAAAATGAAATTAATTTTATTAATTTGAATTATATTCTAAAAAAATTACTTGCATATTTTTTTTTAAAATTTCTACAATAAAGAAGTAAAATAATGGTTGTTGCATAATATTTAGTTGTACAGATTTCATGCATGAAACGACATAAATATCTACTTCAAAGCATAACATTTCCATTCTTTTGCGAAAATATTTCGCTTTTTACACTATTATTGACACACTTTACTATTTGTTTCCCATTTTTTTTTTGAAACATACTGCTTCAGAAAGTAGCAAATCATTGAAATTTGAGGTAATATTTTAAGTCAAGCTACTTTTAAACCAAAACATCGGGCATATTAGTGCAACTTCTAGTTAGGCAAAGGATCTCAAAGCAAAAAATGCACTGTTAATCAAACTTTTGAGGCAATCATAATGATAAATTCTTTTCTGTTCTGATATTTTATATGTCAAAATAAAAATTAAAGGATAAAAATTGCTTTCGAAGACGTCCGGAATGTTTTCTATAATTAAAGATTTAGATATAGATTTTACTACAGCTCGCGAAACGTTACTGCTTGATATGGCAGAAACTCAGTATAAAGCAACAACTGTGGTAGAATTCGGGGAACAGAACTTAGAGAATAAAAAATTTGAGTTGTTAGACTGAGAAGACTGAGACTGGAATATCAAGACGAAAATCAAGATGCTTAGATCAATGTGCGGCGGCTATTGTTGGGTGTTGTCACCGCAAGTCGTTTTTAAACATTGCCGATCTCGTGGTGCCATCTGTAATGAGTGTTGTGAACCAAATGCTCCTTGGCCTACTCAGTTAGATATATAAAAGGAGATGTTTATCAATAGAGGGCGCCTGTAAAGGTCGCTGTTCTTTGGCTGCTGCTACGAATACAGAACTTCTATGCCGTAGCTTGATTGCTAAACCGATCGGGTCAGAAACAGATATTGTCGAAAGCAGGTGAGCGATTTTCGTGATATCTTTCCTGTGCGTCGAGCGAAGCGCCCTAAATGCATCTGATATTACACATCAATACCTCCAAAAATTCACAACTGGCAATATTCATGGCAACAAATGGAGGCTTAGATGATACCACTCGGTATGAAATGCTCCAGGAAAGAATTCCAGCTCGCGTTACGCCCATGCCATACGCAGAGTTAAAGACTGGCTTACTGGTGGTTGTATCTCTTAATTTTCATCTCATAAATTCTAATCCAGGACATATAGTTATTTGACATTAGAACAAATTTTTTTTAGAAAACAGTTCTGTCCATGCGTTTTGTCTCATTTCAAGTATTTGTTCTCTGAATAATATTTTTTAGGCGAAGCAGTGCATTTTATAATAAAAATTCTCTTTTACAGGTTATAATCCAACTAGAAAGCCCGCCGGTCATACGAAATGACCGCTGTTCTAGATATTATAAATTGTAATTAAAATGATTTGTGCAAAGGTGTCTGCTAATTCATACTGAATTACCCAGGGCAGGCGGCGAGGACGCCCCTTTGCTTACTGCCCAACGGGGTTTCCCCCCTTCTACTTGTTTAATTGCTTAAAGTAGACTCAATATAAATCAATGAAGGAAACCACTGGCGGTACATTTCTTAAGAGCTAGTTCAATCAATAAAGGTGATTTAAATAATGAAATGTTACTTCACATGTCAAAGATCTCTTTGTACACAACATTTCTTGTGTAGATCTTTCCATCATTTTTAAGCTCGCCTTGTAGAGGACCATCCATTATTTTTAATTTTACGTCCGTTCTTTCCCGAACTCTTGACAGGCAACATAAAGTTGACCGTGTCCAAATGCAGGCTAAGGTAAAAAAATGCCAACACGCTTAAGTGTTTTGGCCCTGAGACTTATTGATGGTCATAGCAAAAGGCAAGGAAATTGTCTACGTCTCAATTGAAACGGCAACCTTGTGCCGTGGCAACTTCACCCCATTGGCTAGTACAGTCACGCGAGCAACCAGTAAACTATCGGCGACAAACAAACACTTAAGCCGCATGTATATATTTTAGTGAAGTAACATCATCTTGTCTGAAACGGTTGGCTCCCGGGCTTAGCGAAGCACACCGTTGGATTTCGCAGGTCCGTGGCACGCCATTTTGACCATTCGCGTCTTCGTGAGACTTTAATTAGCTGAGATATTAATTAAAAACTAATTTTCCCGTACGTTTTATCTACATTTTCCACGTTCTTTCCTGGGTTTTGTCTATTAGAGGGATTTGGCTACGTGCCATTTTTTCTCGAATATCTATGGAACGGCGCCGAGTTGAAATTCGAGACACATATCCTCAGATTCTAAAATATTCTCCGAATCCATCGATACCGTTCTCATCTTCGTACGATTTTACACGGCCGAGATATTAATTAAAAACTGCGGAAACGTTTTTCTGCGCTCATTTTTCCGAGTGGCAACAATAAACTATCGGCGGCAAACACTTAAGCCGCTTAGATGCTTCAAATGATACTTTGTTATGCCTTGCACGCTCTAAAAATGCATTTTAACATGCAAAACAGTAATGCTATTATACACGATAAAGTGAATATAGTAAGGTAATGCAACTAGTTTTTCTCTCAAAGATTTATAAATGAATGCTATATCGCGAATAAATGAAACTTTTTGTTTTATTTCCGCTAAAAGTGAAAGAAGAGGAAGTTTTGAAGTGTGCCTGGGTTTCTGTCATATATACACTTACAAAAGATTAAAGTTAGTTAATAAAAAAGATAAATAAATGTTTTTCCTTTATTATTCCAGGTACTTGTACACTGATATGATTACCATCGAAAACGAATCCGATGCTTTCGAAGCTGCTTATGCATCGAAAAAGTACATGATTAAAAATCTCTTCAGAGCTTGTGAAAATTATTTGCTGAAAAATGCGATTCTGAATTCCCAGACTGTGTTCTCGCTGTACGAAGAAGCCTCCTTCCTCGACATGGTTAAACTTCAAAATCTCTGTTTAAGATATATATCTAGAAATGCTAAAAAAGTATTTCGTTCCAAATCTTTCATGGGCGCTTCAAAGGACACGTTGAAAGACATTTTAATGCTGGATTTGATGGACATCGACTCTGAGTGTGAAATTGTTGAAGCGCTTTGGTTATGGGGTGAAGAACAATGTAAAGAAAGTGGAATAAAGTGTTCGGAAGAAAATATCCGAAACTTTACGAGAAGTTTCTTGAAACACGTGAGATTTCTAACAATGAAATTCGAAGATCTGAATAAAATACTTGGAAAATTTCAACTCTTAGATTCTTCAGAACAGTTAGCACTTATGTGGACAGTTGCAATGCCCAAACAAGAAGAAATTCCCAATATGCCTTTAGAAATTTGCAATATAGCAAGGGCTAGGTAAATTATTCTTTGTTTTCTAAGCTACCAGTATTAAATGCTTATTATATTAATGCTTATATGTGCTATGATCAAAGCACTTTTAATCTTGTTGTTGACGAACTGAAAGGATGTGTTCGCATATTCGGTGTACTAATCAAACTAAGTGGATAAAAGTATAGTTAAAAAAAAAAAAATCGAATTCAAAGTACTTGCAAAGTGTCTATGACTTTTCGCTTTCGCCATTTCACCGTGGCCGTTTAGCCTTGGCCGTTTCGCCGTCGAAACCTTTCCTGTCTCGCCCATCGGGACGTTTCACCGTCAAGACATATTTTTCTTTACCTGACTGTATTTTATCTTGCCGTATTATACTCGTATCAAATTTATTTAGTTTAATAATTCTGTTTACCTTTTACCTTTTGTATGCATAATAAAGGTTTCTTTTAATATATATAGTTATTTACATGTATGAGATATAAAGAAATTACACATAATTGGAAAATTATGTCAGTACCAAAGAGAACTGGGGTTAAATTTCTGATATAACAGAAGTCATATTATCGACTTTAAAATTATGTGGGTAGAATATTTACACGATTCGTCAAATTTTCTTGAAATTTGAATCGTCTAGTTGCGAGAAATCACTCATACAAGCAGGAAATTCACATTTTGATGAAATCTAAATGGTAAACGGAATGACTTTGGAATCTTGTCAGCCCCTTATTCTCTTAAACTTAATATGTCATGTGTAACGGTGTATTTGTATAAAACTGTACACAAAACATGTTATTTTATATAGAATGTTTATCAAATTAAATTATTAAACTAAACAGAGTTATTAGCTTCTTAATATAATACGGAAGATATTATACAGTTGTGTAAAGAAAATATGTCTTGACGGCGAAACGGCCTCGTCGAATAGTCCCATTCTCCTTGCAAAAGCTTCTTTTTTTTTTTTTTTTTTTAAATTACTTTTCTATATATAGCATTCAAGTATTTAAAATTGAGTCTGTAGAAACTGATCCAATTTTAAACCAAGTAATTTGTAATGGTGATAAGTACTGTTTTTTATTACATTTCGTACGTGTTGGCTGTATTACAGTGCTTAAAATTAATTCAATAACTGCTAAAACTTTAAAGCTGTTTATGCAATTTTTTATTTTTCCGTTAAACATTTATTTGTTTTTCAAAACATTATACCTATAGGCATATTTTGGAACGAATAAAAATTAACAAAATGGAAAAAAAGACTAAATCACAAATAGAATTTATAAGCAGCTGTTTAATTTATTATAACCTCTAATTTGAGGATTTTGAAAACTTGGAGAACCAGTGACGCGCCTTTTAACAAGTACAAAAAGTAATCATTGCTGCTCTCTTCCTACAAGGCAGTACATACAATATTGTCAAACCGGAAGGATGAATGCAAACCTTCTAGTAGTTTGCAACTTGGTTTTAAATTAACTTTTACTGGTTTGCGAATTTGGTTTTAAATTAACTTGCTCAATCAGCTGAGCATTTCCTTTGTCTAAACTAACTTCCTTCAAGGGAATAGCATTGGCATGAGGAGATTCTCCTTCATGTTAAGGACAGGTTTATGCCTGCCAATAAATCTGAACACATCTGCGTTTCTCCTTAACTATTTTGCATTTCATTTTGTGCAAAATTAATGGCATTCCTCTCGTACACGCTGTTGTAGTGAGCAGTGAGTGCAGTGGTAAGCACATCCATTTAGTAAACAGGAAGGTACATGTTTCGATTTCTGCCGTGCGCACAATTGTGTTTTTACGGTTTTCTCTCTAAAATACCTGAACAGCCTCAAAAGTGACTTCCGAACTAAAATGTGGACCAACTTGTTCTCCATTGGGCTAAATTTGACCACCTGGCTCTCGTTCCTTTCTCTAATCCACTTATATTGAGAGGGAATGTAATGAACAACAGCATTCTTCTCGTGCGTGTTTTTGTGGTGTAGTGGTTGAGGCATTCAGTTAGCAATATTTATCCCTGCGAAGGTACAACTGATTTTCCTCACTCCTCACTTCAAAAAATAATTTTTAACACTTTTTCATCCGTATACTTTTAGAGTCTTCTTTCTTAATATCCGGACACTTGTTTGAAAGCAGTTCATCGCGAATGGCCAAACCCATGTTTTTTCAGCCATATTATTATTGAGAACTTTGCCCAGGGTGCACCACAATCGCTAGGTTGATATTACACCCGCGAAAAGGGTTTATGGAACATATACAAACAACAAAAATCCTTACCTAGGAGCCGAATTAACATCTTTGGATTCCAGACATCAGTCAGACTTCACCAACCACTAGCCTTTCCAGGAGGACGTACTTTTAGAATGAGCAAGAGTAATAAGTATTCTTTTTTGAAGAATAGCAAATCTAGACAAAAAATCTTAGCAAAATAATAAAAATTATTACCATTGTCTGGTACCAAAAGTACATATTCTCAGTAGAATTAGATATCACTCAAACTCTTCCAACTTCTTAGCCGTATCCACACAGCTGTAGAAGATAATAGAAAAACAAGCTTCAGAGAACCTTGCATCCCCCCTCCACACACACACAGTGTAACCTAGATCAAAACTACGTCAGAGCTTATGCAGGTATTCCGCCTTAGCAAAAACGGCCAAAGACCTATATAATATCAGGTTACATAATTTTGCCGCTTTGTTACAAAATTGAGTTACCGAACTGGGATAGCGGTTAGTGAATCTGATTGCCGTACGGAAGAGCCGGGTTCGAATCCCGGAGAAGGCATAAATATTTAATATAACTCCGGGAAATTAAAGTATTAAATTTTTATGATGTAATGTATTTAAGATAGTTCATTCTTAAATAAAGTTTCATAGTTTATATAAATAAGGAAGTACGCAGATTTAGATTTAAAAAAAAAAAAAAAATGAAGCTAACATCTACTTTAGCTCACTCGAGAAATTTATTCCATAAAAATGCTGTTAAGCATTTTATACATTAGTATTTTATAAGTTATGCATTTTATGGATAAGTGATTTTGCGCACAATTTTTAACTTCAGTGAAAGCCGAATACTGAAATCTCATTAATACTAATGCACGTAAAATTTTACTAGCTCGACTATCTAGACAAAAGTGAAACATCTGAAAATCAAATACGATTAGAGAAGAATAAAAGATTAGAATTTATTTCAAATGAAATAAATCATTTCTTTTCTTTAAAGTAACTTAAATCTATCAAGTGCATCATCATCAGTAGTATACATCTATAGAAGTACAACAATATGAATCTAGGTGAAATGGATTCATAATATAACCTAAATCACCAAATTTCTAGAATCTAAAGTGTACTATTTATGATACTGCATTCTCTTTTTATTGTTTTAGTACGTCAAAAATATTCGTTGTTAAAATATAATTCTTGTTGTTAGGCCAAAGTGGTAAACAAAAGTTTTATTTTTCAGGTCCATAACAAATTGCTCAAGGATTAGTATTCCTGTTGAATACAAATATGATGGTAATATGTCCTCATTCTCAGTTGCAGAACACACACAGAAAGTAAAGGTTACAGTGAGTGGAGCTTCTTTAACCGTTGTGGGAGCGGTACTTGCTTTTAAACCTATACCATGTTATTCTGCTCAACACAGATCTCTGAACTTTGACTTTATTGTTAGCAACGAAACCGCACGTACTCGATCAAGTGCCACAATATGCTTGAAAGCTGAAAAATCGAAAGAGGATCAAATTATTCAAGAGCTTGTTCTTGATGATTACGTATTGATTTCTGAAGGAGATATCGGGGAAATAACTGTTGCAGTTACCGGCGAAGGTGTGAGGCTAATGCAGTGCGTTGATGATATATTCTCTTGCGATGTTGGGGATTCACAAGCGACTCTCACGTTTGAAGTAGAAGCCAATAAAAAGATGTTGTTCCCAGTGAAAGAAATTATGTGCATTTAGAATAGTTATACATGTTAAGAATAATTCGATGAACGAATGACAGCAAAGAGTGTTTCCCATCAGGATGTTTTTGAAATGCTTAACGCTGATTTGCAAGCCATGGTAGAGACACAAAGATGGTCGCCGGTCTGCAGTACGAGGCTTCATCATGCTTCACATATGAATCTAAAATTGGAGATTCGAATAAGGTCTTTTCGGAACGAAAATGTTCAGAAAGAGAATACATTTACAAGGTTTTTGCAGGAATCGGAAATTTTTTTTGATTAAGACAGCAAGTTTTAACTGCTGAAAGAAAAGAACTGACAATTGAGCTTCGACTAAAGTCACAAAAACAAAATAATGTAATTCTATAAATTAATTCATGCATTTTCCTTGCAAATTTATTCTTACTAGTTACAAAAGTACAACTAGACGAGCTGATGAAATAGTTCGAACTAAGATTAGGCTACAGTATAATTCGTTAGTTAACGTATTTGAAAGCGTCCGCGAGTAAAACTTAACGAAAAGTTTGAAAGCATTTTAAAAACACCAAAGCAGATGCTGAGTAACTTGAAGATATTTAGTATAATTAACGGTCTGTCAGCTTTAAGTTGGTTGTATTCTAAAGCTTTTAACTTAACAAATTGATTATTTAAAAGTATTAACAAATGCCAGCTTCAAGGAAGATAATCCAAAGTCTATCAGAAAACAAATCTAAGTTAGTTTTAATGAAAGGTCTTTTGACGGACAGGTGTTTTATTTATTTATTTCGTAATGAAATTAACCATTTACATCAGAAGCAAATAATACCAAGCTTCAAGTTTTGCAGTGAAATTGGAATTCTTTTGCTGAAAACAAATGCTTTTAAAAGAATGGAACACATGATCTCCAGGAAGTGTGATCGAAGATTGAAATAATTCACAATTACGAATTATAATTATATTTTAAGCTTCAAATACTCTTATGTATTTCTTGTTTGACTTTAAAAAATAAATCAAAACTGTTTCAGTCTTGAGAATGAGACCTTGTAAATATAAAAAGGTGAGAAAATATATAATATATAAGTTATAGAATATATAGTTAATAGAAATAAATATAAATATATAAGCAGATTTTCAAGAGGAAAAGCAAAATACTTTTTATAATCAAAAGTTGCTGCTAACATTGAATAAGAATCTTTCAAATAAAGATTAATATAATAATAGCAGCATGAATAAATATTTAAGAAAATGTCTTCATCTCTTCTTAGCTGAAAAACCAAACAATTAAAAGAGAATTTTTAATGCAATTCTGTTAGATAACTAACTACAAATGAATTTTAATTAAAAAAATTATGAAACGGTAAAATGAAACTGAGATTAGTTATTCTTTATAAAATATACTAAAATTAACTATTGGCACAGGTCCTCATTCAACTTAGAGTTAACCGCAAATTGGGATCTACTTTCAATTTTGTTCTGTATTTAATTTTTAAATATAACACGAAAGAAAATCTTTGTTCACACAAATAGTTAATGCAAAAAGGCAAAAAAAAATAAAAAAATAAAAATAAAAAAATAATTATTAGCTTTATTTTGAAATGGCTTTAAAGTTGTTTTTTTCGGTTCAGCTAAAAGTTAACAAGTGTATTATTTTTTAAATCTCCAGTTAAAGTCCGATCACAGGAAATTTCTCTGTGAAAAATGAGATTCCTTCACGAGATTTTTGAATTTAATAGTTAAAAATACTTTGTTTCTTTGTGTACCACCTATTTTTCCTCTTCCATATCACCGGTTGAGAATCCTTGGTCCTAAACTAAATAGTTTAGTTCCCAGTTTGGCTGCTATTTTTTGAAATATTTGCTACTAGCAGCTTCGCTGCCAGCCTTCGTCTGGCTTTTAAAATGTACCGGAAAAATAGCTGAAGGAAACACCAAACGTTAAATTTAAAAACTGCGTAGAATTTTACTCTGCAGAACAACTTCATAAAAAAAAAGTTATTACGTATAAAAAAATTACAATGAAATAAGTAATATCCCTTAATACAAATATTAATTATCCTAATAAAAATTAACCAACTTTCCGTTGAAGAAAAAAAATCATGCAAACTTTTCAATATCTTACAAACAGTGAAATAAGCAAAAAATAACATGAAAGCAACTAAAAAAAAAACAAAATTCCGCGCAGAATTTTACTCTACAGAACAACTTTATCAAAAAAAAAAAAAAAAAAAAAAAAAAAAAATCAATAAAAATGTATTATATAAATATATAAATGACAATGAAATCTGCCAATCTCTTAAAAACAGCGACATGAGAAATACGATGGAAAATTGTTGCCAAACCCATATTTCTTAAAGAATGAAGCTATTCAAAATGATGCGATTTCATCAAAAATCTATCAACAACAACAAGACAGGGAAATGTTTGCCAAAATAATTTTTAAAGATGTGAGAGTGTACTCGGGAGCTTCATTTAAATTTATATTTTTTAAAATACAAACTATTATAATTTTTCCAAAATTCCTTTTGTAAAAGCAGTCGCAAGGATAAAAGTTTAACGTGTCCAAAAATCAAAGAAAAATAAACTGTACATTTTTAAAAATAAACTTTTTTAGAAAAAATCCCGTTGAAAAGGTGTTAAGCTCCCTTTGTTAAATAAATTCGTATTGAATCGATTTATTGAAACACGAAATTTATTTTAAGTTCGTAAAATAGCTAAGTGCCTACGTTTCATGACGATGTGAAAATGGAGTGTGTAGAGTAAAATCTCGTTTTCCTATAGCCCATTAGGTCTCAAAACGACGCGATTTCGTCACAAAACATAAAATAAAAAAATTCTAATTTCGAATTTCGAAAAAATAGCTTAGAAGTGCACTGGCTCTTGTCTATATGCACCTATGTACCAAATTTCGTAGCCGTGGGTCTATTAGCTTACACCGCAGCGCGAACGAAAGACACACACACAGACAGACTCTTTCTTTTATTATATGGGTGTAGATATATATTTTAAATAATAGCATCAAATTATATTTCCAAGTTTAGTGTCGCCATCTGTTGCACAAATTAGAAAGTAAAATGAACTATCGCCTTTGTTATTAAATTAACATGTTATATATCAACCCATAGATGGCAGCACAAGCAATGCAGGGGAATTACACTTTTCTCTTATATTAATGCAACTAACTTTATTGCCCTAAATACAAGGCGACGTTTTATTCATTAAAATGTCTTTCTGGAAACTATATCCTATCCCCGTATCCTAACAGAGAAAACAGCATTTCATTACTTATTAAGAACCACCTATCTTAAAAGGAAAAAAGCATTTAATGTCTACTTCGAGATATGGTATTTATATTATTTAATTTTCTTTTTGATTAAATGTCTGCAATACATCAAGCTTATCAAAGCATAGAACAGCTTGATGAATTCCTCCTTTTTCTTTAAACAGTTAAAAGTACCAGGGTCATTTTATATATGAGATCGTCTTATACTTGGAGCAATACAAAAGTGTTTCCATTTAACCCATAATTCAGAGTAAAATAGTTCATTTTGTTAAATTGAAATTATCACATTTTAAATGGTGGTACTTATAAGTTACATAAATTTCAAAAATGCTCTTGATATTATTATGCCTAAGTAGAAAATTCAGTTTTATTAATTAAATTTCAACGATTTAATTTAATAAAAATATCGAACTGTAAACGAATGTATTAAGTGATTTTTATAATAGATGAAACAACTAACTTTAAGCTTTTCCTGGTATAAAAAATTTCAGACACGTTTTAGAAATACCACGCTTGTTTTTCTTATATTATATTTGTTATATTTCTTATAAATAATATTTTATTTAATTTCTTATAAATAATATTATTTTACCATGGTGGTCTATAATTTCTCATTCTATCCATCTCTTGTAATGCTTCATTATTGCAAGGAAACTTTCCAGTGAGTTTCGAACGGTCCAGTTCTTCAATTAATATTCCATCTAATGATTTCACACGACTAAAGGCGACATATGCTTGACCTGCTGCGGAGAGTTTTCGTCCTAGATATATTACTGCATAATCTGCATTGTTATTTACTTATTTTAATAAGCACGGGTCACTTTAAAGGCCTTTAACATACATTATTATCACGTTAACACAGAAATACGGGGAGAATTTTCGCTACATAAATGGGACATTCCATCCGCTTCATCCAACTTTATAAAACTACAATTCTTTAATTCCATACACTTTAACAATCTTTAGAACTCTGTCTTACTGTTGCCACTTATGTTTATGTTTATTAAATATTGCAATCCCATTGATCACAGCCATGTACTATTATTTATAAGTTGCTATAAAATTAATTTTTTACAGCACGTGAGAATTCCTAACAAACGGTCATTATTTGTAAGTCTTATAACATATTTAAAAGAACAGCATATCTTTAATTCCGATAAACAGGCATCAATAAGTAGGAATTGATTTTAAAATGTGAAAAAACTGTATTAATGTCTAGTGTCATCCACTACAAGTTTAAAAAATGTATTTGAACTTGAGTGGATGAATAAAAAGTATATTATTAACAACTGAAAATTTGAACAAGATATAGGGAGAATGTAAGCTAAAAGTAGGAATTTTTTTAAAAAAAAACAATGTTCTGCCATTCGTTTGTTTATGCCCAAATTGTTTTTTTAACCGCTGACTAGACGTCTCACACCTTATTTTGCTTCAAGCCATTGTGTCCAGCCAGAGGGAAGTTATATACTACCTAGTCAACTACAGCCAAAAGGTAGGTTTGGCAGGCTTAGACAATCGGGCATTTATTTCTGTATATTAGTAAAAATATAATAATAGTTTGCAGATGCGGTTCCGTGTACATTACGTGTAACTAAAACCTATAGATACTGGAACTTTACAAATCTTGAAAACAGAATTTTACGGATATATAAAACGGATATATGTTTTAATAGTTGTAGGTCCAGAAGACAAAACTTGAAGCTGTGTCTTTACATATAAATTCTGAATAGAACTCGGAATTGTGATATTAGGTGTTACAGTTACAGTTATTACATGACTGGGGTTTACAATCTTCACAGTCATTAATGTTACGGTCTTTTCAGTCTTGAAAGGTGTTACAATTCATCAGAGTCATCATTTATGCATTTAATTAATCTGTATTGCTCTATTTAGAGGTCCATGATTGCCTGAGAGTAACTCTCACCATTTTCGTTTAATATGGCCTTGTCATCATATCATCAAATGGACAAAATCGTAGCCTTATCATCATCCAAACTTTTTGACTGTTCTTTTGCAAAAGGATATCCATGAGGAGTATTTTCCATCTAAAATGGGCCTTTTATACACCGCAAATCCTTTTTCAAACATGATACATCTTTTTATCCGTTCTTCTTGGTCTTGACATGACTGTAAAAGCCTTTGGAACGCTTCACGATTTTGCGAGATGGGCATGCTATTTGCAATTTGCGCAGGGACCACGCTAATCTCTCATATCATTCTAATTTTAGTATAGGTGTTTATGTCTGCATTAAATGCATCATTTCAGTCGCCTATGCCTTTGGTGTAGGATCAACATTAACCTTACCAATGTGTAAAGATTTTCCTTCTTTACACATAGTGTCGAATGCTGACACAAGGTTTCTGTGCAACAGGCTCTAATTCTGCTTCTCTTCTTGTTCCTTAGTCTGTCCGTCTCTCCAGTACCTACCGATTCCATATTCGCCTGACTATGGTTTCAGTTCATTGATGTCTCGAAAGAATAATTATCGGTCTTTAATAGTCAGACCCTTTGTTATTTTCAGAAAGCTTCACGAATAACTGCCGGGTTTTCCCAAAGAAGTATACTTAAGTTTACAGCGGAAAGGAAAAGCGGGAAAGCACAACAATTCAGCACTTAAAAAGGCCAACAGTTCTCCCATTTTGGATTGTATCTAAGTGGGTTATTAAGATCTGAAACTGTTAATCATTTGTATAACCTGTCGAGATCTACACAGGAGCCAACTGGATGCTTCTTTAATAGTCTTGCATTTTGGGT